ATTATAAAAGCTTCGAAGCCGCAAGCTTTGAGTCCAAAGACTCACTTATTCTCAGTCGACACTCGAACGCCGGAGAAGCAACTACTCAAAATAAAAATATGTCGGCGATTCCCAGACTTCTGCAGACCCTCAGGGTAAAGATATATATTTGTGCACGTGCGAGGGAGTTAGATGTGCTGCTTATTATTATTATTATTATTATTATTATTATTATTATTATTATTATTATTATTATTATTGTTTTGCTGTAAGAAGTAGGTCTTATTCCAAACATGATTTTCTCAGATTTTTCCTTTCCCTAAGTAAAGCAATATTTTCATAAATTATTTTGGTATTGTTGTAGAGCAACAAACGCGAAGATTTTGTTATTATTGCTTGTGTCAGTAGATCTTAGTAAGTGCAGAAAAGCGTAGACCTTTGATTTTCAACTTATTGTGAAAAAGGGATCGAGTCCTTGTATTTTGGGGGGGTTTGGAAAATGTTTTTTCATATTTTAGTGTCATCTCGTTTCACTGGTGTAGTTTCATTTCACACAACCATATGGTACTATGTCTAAGGAATAAATAGAAGGTAGGAAAAGTTAATTTTGGATTATTACACAAAGCAACCTTTGTGTAGAGGAAAAATACCTGGGTAGGGAGATATGGCAAACAGGGGGTGGTCTGGGGGCAGAACGCTAGGGTAAGGAAGATTCATGGTTCACACAGCGATCTGTCTGGTTGTTTTTGCCTTTAAGATACGGTTCCTTTGCTTGTTTGTTCACACAAGCCAGTGTCGAATCTTCTGTGGCCAAATTTCGCCTCACAATTTTCTATTTTGCTCTTCCTATATCATACGAAATGCAGTCATTGGCTTGAGATTTTAATTTTCCACTTTCTTTTGCTCTTTAAAATCCCTGATATCAGCGAAATCCCCCCCCCCCAAAGCCCATGGGATCCCTCAACATTGTTGGCTGGAGTAGGGAAGTCTCTGCACCATTTCACATAGAAAATAGTTGTTTTAAGAGCAAAAGAGATATGCTTGTCTTAGAAAGAATTACCAATATCTGTAAAGTGCTGAAATACTTCTGTGAATTGGGTAGCTCTCTTATCAATTAGCCCTGCTACTGAGAGAGGTCCTCCTTTGAAGATTCCCCATGCATACATGTCCCACTGATATTTTTTGGGTAAAATTACCGCGGATAACAATCAGGGTTACAGTAAAAGAAAAAAAAGATATGGAATGGTTACCTTGACGTAAACTGAGACACTTTTCATCTATGGCAAAAGGTGTGATAATCAAAAATAAAGGAATTACATGACAGAGAAGCGAAGACCGACCCATCTTTTTCTAAGTCCCTCGCCATGTTGACATCGTGAATGAAACAAAATTGTGACCAGTCACCTCATTCTTGCTCTGTTAAGTAGTTCATGTATTACTACGCCGTTGTCAAAACGATATTTGGCTAATTATCAGTGTCTGCTGTTCGACATATATGCTTTCAAAGGCCTTTGTTAATGTTGTTATACCTCATTTTCATGTTTCAAGATTTCTTAGACAGTGATTTAAGGAAATCGGCCTGAAGCACCTTCTGCGCAGGCGCATTTTCACGTTTCTGCCGCCAGGTTTGACAGGACGATTCCCAGGGCAGTCCGGTGACATGAGACTGGCGAGAAATGTTTAAATTTTGGTGTTACGTCGATTCTAAGTTGTTCTTAAGACTATATAGTGGAAACGAAAAGGAAAAAGACCTTAATAACTATCGCAGTTCGATTTCTGAGGCCATTAAGTACACCAAATCCCCCAAAAAGCGATAAAAACGAAGCAATCCACGATTCACAATAGACCGACTGAAAGAAGCGAAGGAAAATTGACAGTTCGGTCTTTCGATATATAAAGGTATTTGGTTTATTGTTTACATTATGGATGTAGCTCTATCTTGCCGTACATACCGAGGTGAAGAGAATGTGTCCTGGGGGGTGTTGGGAAGCTTGCCCCCCATCAACCCTCCCCTCGGGCAGTCGGGCATGCCTAGTCATGGCACCGTAAATTGTTAGGTTAGGTTGGATTATTGGTTATGACGTTTTTTTTGGTCTGGAAGATGTGAAATCATGTAGATTTTACCGAAAGATGGGTTGGATTTCCGTATAGTTTTTCAAACTATGGCGCGTCGGTGCGTAGACTTTCAAAGGTGACGGACATGTCCGTAGAGTTTCATTGGCCGATTTTTAGCATTTTTTGTGCTAGTTTTACATGTTTCTGTTCGCTATTATTCTTATTTAAGCTTGTTTTACCCCATAATTTCCCAGATATACTTCATGCCCTCCCCTGCTAATGGGACTTAACACGTCAAGATCGTCGGCTGTGATTGCAATGGAAATGATCATCAGATTCATTCTCATCACATGAGAATAAATCTGATGATATAAATATTGTCTAGGAAGTCCCGATTGTTATAATCGAAAAATTAACAATTTAATCTTCCTTTTATTTATATTATTCTTGTTTAACTTTTTAAGTTTTTTTATTTGGTAATACTTTATAGTATGCCCCCCCCCCTACCCCCAGGAAACATTGTCTTCACCTCATATGCATGGCAATATTCAGCTGAAACTTGAGAGCACAGAGTGAACTTAGGCTGTAAACAACACTTTCTGCTATCTTTTTCCCTTATTTGCGGTGTTACCATTTGTGTCTGCAAATTATTTCTTGTAAGAACAACTTTAACTTTTTATCTGCTAAAAGAGCAGTATATTCAATTTGTCCCAACTTAGTGTTTCCGTACTGTAAAGATTAACCATTTGAATTTGTTGTTTGTGTGCATATGGTACACTGGCTCAGTGTAAACCGTGTATGCGTGTGGTAATTTTAGAAAATTCTGGTGTTGTGTACACCAGTGTACAGAAAAAATCATATGCTGGAAACAGAATTTGCTAGCAAGCGCTGGTGTTAGAATCACAGTTAAAAGTTACAAATAGATTTTGAATTTTTAAAGAATATGGTTACATGTGGTTTGGGACACAATGTGCATGTGATGAAATAGTCTTCATGACTGACTCTCTAAAAGGTAATACATCCTATAATTGGGGCAAGTAAGAAAAATATTGAGGTTCCTGTAGTATTGGGCCAAAAGGGTGGGTCAATTGGTATGATCCCCCCAATTGACAACAATAGATATTGGGTTTGAAGTTCAAAGATCTGCACATAAATCCTAATGTGTACACTGGCACTGAGTAGGTCTTAATAGTATGGAGATGGAATGATATGCATGTTTTCTATATCAAAGCATTGATATTCTATACATTCTTACTAGAATGAAAAATTAATTTAGTAATTATTAAAAATCTGTTTTGAGATCTCCATCAGAAGAAGTAGAATAAAGATGGTAATATAAAGTAGAATTTCTGATATCCCCTGCTTCTACATATATATAGATTAGTGTAAATGAGAAAAGATGTATTTATATTTTCATCTTTCTGTTATGTAATGATTTGATAATGATCATCAAATGTATTTGTAGAATTTCATGTTAGACCAAGTTGACATTAGTGCTATATAGCATCTGTTATTGTCAAGACTAACTAGGCCAAATTCCTGCATTGCTTGTGTCTATACAGTTGAGCCTGTTTTAGGTTGTGTACTACAAAAATGTAGTTTTAGCCACATTTCCTGAAGAATTCTTCTTGAGAGGCAGATTGCAAAGTGGCGCCTGGTGCACGGCTCAGTATGGCATGTGAAAAACCCTGTCATTAGGTTGATATGTCTCTCCTAAATCAATGACCTCTTCACTATATTTCAACACTCTTCATTTGATTTTATCTCTGTTTGTATGGACATTTGGATATGTAAAATATGATTGTTTCTTAACCTGCATCTAAGTGTGACATTTGTTATTCATCTGTAAAGCAGAGTGAGGCTGTCCTAGTGGGCCCAAGTATCCGGGGATTCTGCACCAAACCACCCAAGGCCCCAGAGACCAAGGCAGCACCTAAAATACCCAAGTATC